CTTTGCAATACCCACAAGGCTTCATTTCTTCAGTTGCCACACAATTCAATGCGGCTGAAAAAATTCTTGCGGTCGATGTTTTCCCAGTTCCTCTAGGACCCTGGAAAAGATAAACAGGAGCAATCCTACTCCTTTTTACAGCGTTCATTAGCGACTGAACCACTATACTCTGCCCAATCAATTCATCAAAGAACATTGGTCTATACTTTTGGCTGAAGCTTCGGATGTTCTCTGGTGTACTTCCTTCTTCTCCTTCGCCATCTAATGCTACAACCTCCAAACCATCTTGACTCCTACAACTAGTAGACCACCTCCTCCCATCTAATCTACTCTGAGCCTCCAAATCGAGCTCTCCGTAATTGGTAGAAAGCTCGTCGTCACTAAGCCCAGTTCCTATAGAAGACCCTCCTCTACCATCACCACCGTATGTGAGCAAAGGCAAAACACCTTGTGCACTTCTTGAAGCAATTTTCTGTTTACTAAACCCTCCAGAAGAATGTCGACTATGTCGACGATACACAGATTGACTCCCGCATAATATGCTACTCCCGGTTCTTCTCAAAGTATCCGACAACGATGGAGAGCAACAACTTCTACATCCACCTCTATGTTTCATAGTCTTCTTCGTCCAATAACATGGAATGCCACAACCTTGCCTCCCTGGTAAATATAAGTTATCATCCAACTCATCGTCACCGTCATTCACCGAAGTCGTGGTACCATCCCAAGATCCAACAGTGCTTGGATTACGAACAGCATACATGTTGAATGAGCTAGTCGATAAAGCCGGTGTACTGTTATAAGTACATGAAGAATCCTCTTTCCTAGTAGTTCTCAAAAACTTAGAGGAAGAACGTGACCAGTTCTTGTGCTTAAGCTTCAAAAGCAAAGGAGATGCACCAGTGACTTTCCTCAGGTCCTCTGAATTGCTAAATTCCTCTGTATCGTCTGATAATTCAGCAGAAACACCTCTCCTTGCATCTAAAGCTGATGCAGCATTACAGTTTGTAGATTTTCTGGCGACAGTTTCTTCTCTAGGTTGATACTTTGAGAAAAGATCCAAACGAGAGGAGTTTTTTTGCTTACTCTTCTTCTTGCTACTAACACTGCTCTTCCTGATCTTTGCCGCAAGATTCGTGTCTCCGAACCTGAAAATCATCGAGGCCGATTGGATTTCCCCAGGATACGAATCGCTCTTGGAATCCCCACCTTTCCTCGCATCACTCACATCATCGTCCTCGTCGTCGTTGTCATCATTGACACTAGCTTGTGTCCACGAAGATTCGTCTTCTTCCTTGCCGTTTTTAGCTATTCCGCTTTTCTCGCTGGAAGATTTCTGTGTTTTCCAGTTGTACAAGAACACTTTCTTCTCCTTCTCGTTTCCAATCCTCCGATTACTACTCTCTGCTCGAATCGGGAGTTTGTGAGCGTTATCACCGTTCCGACTCGAACTCGCGGCGTTTCTGCTAACCGGAGGCTCCAGAACCGCCGTCGCGACGGATCTCGAGGAATCGAGAGGGGATTTCCAGGAGGAAGTTGTACCTGGATCGCGCAAAACGCGGCCAGCTTTCCTGATTTGAGTCAGCTCTCTCTTCAGATGCGATTTGCTCAGATCCGAAACTCTCGAACCCGACATTTCTCCTTAATTCTCACAAACAAAACCCAAGAGCTTCCCTCGATTTCCGCTTCTTCCCTCGATTTCCACGTCTATCTCAGACTCGAGTTTTCAGTAGCATTTGAGAACAGTTTCGCATGCTCAAGCACGCAAGCAACAGCTATCAGAACATCACCATTGAAAAAATCAGAGTAAACAAAATCAGAAGAAGTAAAACAGTAGAGATCCAGGAGAAGAGACGAAGGAATCGAGGAAACGGTACGAAACACTGAAGAAAGAGGTAAGCGATATAGTCTACTTGTTTCGCTAGAACTACGGGCTAATACATCGCCGGCGCTGGAACAAAAAAAAAAGAAAATGATGAATCTCGAGTTCTGAAACTGTAGTTGCCTGCGACTGCGAGAGAGCATGAGAGAAAGAGAGAAGGAATAATTTTCAATTTTAAAATTTCAACAATAAGTTTTGATTATATTTAAAGATCTTATTTAAATGTCATATTTTTATTTGTGGAAAGAAAAAGTGAATCGGAGAAGAAAAAGTGAAAAAACTGTAACTCCCAAAGGAAAAGGAGGGTGGGATTCACCTTTGCTCGGGTCTCGTCAAGCCTTGTCTCAGTGTTTTCTGTCTAAGCGTGCGTCAAATTTTTTTTTTTTTATTGTCCCTATTTTTTATTTTACAGATAAGGTGTCGGTAATAATTTTGTACATGAAACCAATATGAACTGAGAGTTTTTTTTTTTATATATATGAACTGAGAGTTGTAAAATAGTATGTACATTCAATTTATTTTGTTCAGAATTTTAAGGAGCTTAAGTTGCCTATATAAGCACATTCTGATAAAATGATTTGGTTTTTCTATATCTACATAAATGTCCATAAAGTATGTCTGGTTTATTGTATGTTTTGGTGTATTTGCTCAAGCTCCTTTGTTCTTCATTTCAAAATGCCCAACAATAACTCTTGGTTACGCATACAAGAAAGGCTACAGAGTTGGACTGCACGCCGTTTATGCTAACATGTCCAGCACACCGTGCCATATGTATATATTATGCTTATATGACATGCATCCTTGGTGTCTCATCCCCGAGTTTTGGTAAATAATAATCAAGAAATGACATGGAAAGTGAAAGAAAGACTATCAACAAAAATGCAAAGCTCCTCCAGATTGAAGATAGAATTCATCTTTCCATAACTATTTCTTACGTAATCGTGTTGGAATACGGTGTGCAAAAGCTTAGCTTCTATAAGATAATCTTGAAAGTATAAAGCCAACTTTGCTATGATGTTTCGGATTTACATTTACTCCTCTTCGACCGTCAATCAATCGACAAAGCATGCATGAAATAAAGAACATTGTTTTTCGATCATATGGACTAAGCAAAAGAACGAGCAATCTATAAGAACTCGATTATATATAGCAGAAAAACTATAACAAATGAATTGGCTTACGGACACCAAATACTAGCAACTACTCGAAATATTCTTTTTTTTTCGTCGGGAACCACGGTGGCTGGTGATGTTGTCAAAGTCTTAATAGAACAGGAGGTGATCGGGTTTATGGATTTGGGGTAAAATGACTTTACTGTCCTCCCACGTTTTGGTGAAACTCGCTCGGTGTACTAAACAAATCAAAACCGTGTTTAATTAGAGTGATCTCCCCAAATTGCTTTTCCTGTTTTTTCAAAGCATCTCACCAAATTGCTTTATGAGAGCAATGAGAGCCTAAATCTTTGCCGTGACAATTGTCTTTACATGTTTTTCAAACAAAAAAAAAAAAGACAAATGTCTTTACAGTAAAAATCTCATGTGTTAGCTGTTTTAATGTTTTGTCCGTTGGATACGCCGAAGAAAGTGATTATCACATGACTATTTTTTGCCATTATTAGTATTTATTATTGATTCTATTTTTCTGATTACAGTTGTTATCAGCGAATCTATTCTTCTTATTTCTTTTTTTGGTCGAAATATTCTTCTTATTTAAGGAACATATTTTATAACGTAATTTCATAATAATCCAATATATTTTTATTATATACTGTAATTGATAATTCTTACCAACAATACCACTAAAACTACGAAAAAAGAAGAGAATCGCCGAGGTTAAATCTTGAGCAAACTTTCAATGATTTGGTCAAACTTGTAAGTTGTAACGAAGTCAAAAGAAAGGATGAGATGGAAACATCATGTGGACACATTGTAAATTCACCACTTCCAAACCATGTCTTAAATCCAATTATTGCAGTATAATTATAACACAATTTTTTGTTTTTGTCAACTATACAAAGGTCATGCGCCGTATTACTCTAAATATAATACTTTTCTCATAACATGATACCAAACTATGGGTTTGTAGATTAGCTAGATATCTCATTCTTATCAATACAATTTTGTTTGCGATTTGGAAAACAAAAAATATATAAAAAAAATTATATGTTCAGGTTTAATTGATAGGTATACTTCAGCTTAAATTAAATCACTGTAAAACTAAAAATTAATATGGTGATTGTTTAAGTAGTTATATCCTCGAAAATGTGATTCAAATGATTTGAATTTGGTAAAAGAGTAATTTTATAGTCATTCTAATTTTGACATATCATTTTAAGAGAATGAACAGGTTGAAACATTGAATCGATATCGATCCAGCGAGTTTGTGTTGATGATTATTACCAAACATATATCAACACGCAAAGATGTGTTTACGAAAATGAAAAATTTGTGTACTTGTTTGAGTTCTTTTCTTGAATTTGCATTAAAACATGCTTATGGTTATCCTATATTTTATAGCTTATGGTTCCTTATAGTCGTTCTTTAAATAATGCATTTATCGTTGCATAAAAATAAACAGAAGGCCAAAAGCACATGCGACTGTTTTGTTAGATATTGGGATTGGGAGGCCCCTATCCTTGTGGCCCAGATATTTTATAGTCATTTTCTTCATGTATTTTGTAAAGGATCCAATCTATTTCTTTTCCTTGTTTGTTACATAATAAAACCCTATCAATATGCAAAAGGAACCAAATAAATTGTATCTTAAGTGGTTTATAAGTGTTGTGGTTGTGTGATCACTCGCATTCAAATTTCATAGTATACATGTTGTTGTTACTAAAAAAAAGTATTAAAAAGAACGTTTGAAAGTTGGTTTGGTCAATAAAAGTTTGAAATTTCACTTCGTCATGTATTTGGATAGTACTTTCTATTGGGGTGACACTTGAACGACAAGAATGTTAAACTGAAACACAACTTTTTATTTTCAGTCAAAATTTTGTTAGAAAGGATAAACTAATAACCAGATATTTCTTACTTTAGTAAAATTGTACAATATAAAAGACTATGTGATAAAATATAAGCATATTACCAACAATTTGAACTAGGAAGTATAGGATCGGTAGACGGAAAATTACTAAGATAATCTCAAATAAGCAAATTAGTAGTAGCATTGACACCAACAACAACAAAAAAAATCCAAAAAAAAGAAAGACATCACCAATTGTAAATAGTCTCGATCCATAATAAAGACTAAGCAATTAAAAAAAAGAGTATTTTTTTTTACCTTCTTACATCTTCTAATACCCTTTTTCTGGCTTTTTTTTTTTTGTGGGAACTTCTTCTCCTTCTTTCACAGTTTCCTCCTAACTCTCTTACCTTTTCTTTTCTTCCGGTTGTTATTTAACTTCAAGGTCTAGCTCTCTTGTTACTGCAACTTGGGCATTTGTACTGCTTGATGTGTTCTGCTTTTGCTGGTGTTATCTTCACACATTTTCCATGGAACCATTTCTCGCAGGCGTCACAGCAAATCCAGAACTCATCAGTACCGTAACTATCTCCACAAGCACCACAAACTGCACCTTGTTCATCGTCTTCTTCCTCGTCTTCACTTTCATCATCTTCTTTTGGCGGTGGGGATGACATCTTCGAAACCTTTGTGAGAGATTCAGATTGGCGAGACTGTTTCAGAGGAATACAAAGAGATAAGAACTTAGCAGAGATGAAGATCGAGAGAGAGAGGGGTATAAAATAGAGAAACAGAAGATACCTTGATGCCGCTAGATTTGCTTTTGCTATTGTTGTTGTTAGCAGAGAGATCCTTGGATTGCTTTGCATTGCCGGTCACAACCTCGAAAATTGTTGGGAGCTCGTTAATCATCTGGAAGAGCCTCTTCCTATAAAAGAATCAGTTCATCGGATAAGCTTAGAGGCAAGTGATTGCTATAATGTTTAGAAAACTTAATTCCAGAGAAGTATCCGATGAGATCAAAACAGTTAAATTTCTTTTCATCAATCCACCAAAAGAACCACACATGCTGAGACTCTTGATTCACGACCCTAGACAAATCCAGAATCACTGACTCGTTATGGCCATCTTCCATTTAACATGTTAACTCTCAGCTAACGGATTTTACAATTGGTGCTGAGCTGTAAACACAGCTACAATCCCATGCAAACTTCCAAGACTAATTACAATGATCCTGCACTAGACTAATACAAAGAATAGGTAATCAGAACTAGAGGCACATATCACATCTATTGACCTGAATCCCATATATCTCAATAAAACTGGTCCAGTTAGATGGGATTCATAACATATGTGGCTTGACTTCTGTCTCATGAAGGAAAAAGCCAACACAAGACAAGAGAATGCTAGGATGGTCATTATAACCTTAGCACACATGAGTTTACAAGATTATCGCATTTGAGACGCAACACTCGAAAGACTGAGCTGAGAAGGAACCTTACCTCTCATTCTTACCAAACCCAAAACGTGCACCAAAGTAAAATGCAACAGAGAGCAGCCACGAGTCGCTGTGAACTGCGACCAAAGATACCCAGTCCTTTTCTTGCATTCCGTCTCTTGCGAAGTTGATGCCTAAAGCTGGTTCAGGAAGCTCAGGAGGAACTTCCTCGACGGGAAGATTAACCTCCCATGTTTCATTCGGAAGTCCATAGAGGCACAAGTTCTCCTTCTCTGCATAAACAAGAAAGAAACACCTTAAGAGAAACCACACAGAGGACATAACTCAACATGTCGACACGCACAATCAACAGATCAAGTCCTCAAAATGGTTCAGATAGACAGAACACCCGAGGAAAAAGATAATCCAAAACACAGTCACAATGAAACAACTAAACAGATAAAGCTCCTGAAAGTTTTGTACTCTAACTGAAATCTTAACTAGCGAAAACGATAAAGACAATCACTATGAAACAAACCAACTGAAGCTATATTTGCATAAAATCTAGAGACATTGACCAGTGAACAAATTAACGAACCACAGAGATCGCCCACTGATTGAAATCATAGAACTTTAGTAACTTCGACATAACATCCCACTAGGAACCATGAACTAGAAAGTGGGCATTTTTACTAGAAACGAAACGTGGCGATTTGAATTTGAAGCAAAACTAGTTAAAATACTGTTGAAGAAATAACGCACCAGGATCGCACGTTTGGTAAAACTTCACCATATCTGCATGAACACACACAAAAAAAAAAACCCAGAAACGTCAAATCTCACAAAATGACAACAACCCGGACAATAATAGGGTTTTCTCCCTTAAAAAGCAAAACCCAAATGCTACAAATCGGCAAATCTACTCTATCCTTCTGAATCGCCGGTGCGGATTTCTCGGAGAAACAAAAAAAAAGCCCAGGATCGGACAAAGCAAGAAAGGAAGACAGAGAAAGAGAGAAGACCAAGCTCACCGTTGGTGAGAGCCTTAATCAGACCAGCCCGTCGACCTCTGAAGTCGCTAAAGACCTCTTCGACAGTCCGAGGAATCGGATGAGTGATTCCCTCCATTTTTCTTAACCACAGATGATGTCGCCGGAGTATAAATTAGCCTCACAATCGCCGGCGAAGGTGAGTATTCCGGTGAAAATCAAAATCTGGGACGAATGCTTGAAGGAAAGCAGGAAACAAAAAGGAGCTACAAGAGAGAAATTTCACTTTGGGTTCGGATTTGGGGAGACTGAAATTTATAAATCTCTTTAATTTGGGGGAAATTGGGAAAAGAAAAATAGACAAGAGCTAGAAACCCTAAAACGAATAAAAAGGAACAGATCAAAAACAATTTTGGGGATAGGACATATATATAATATATATATTGTTTTTTGACGTCATATAAAATAGATATATCTCTCTATTTATATTCCGTATTTATTATTTATTAATTCGGTCTTACACAAATACCACACCCTACTTTCTCGGCTACATCCCAATCTATAGTAGACTCCCGACTATTTGACGACATAAAAGAAAAACTCCCAAAAAGTCACCTGTATTAATAAATATGCAGAATGAGACATCAAATTTTTTTTTTGGGCGTCGAGACATCAAGATTTAAGGAATCACAATCGGATTTTTTTGTTTGGTCGAATCAATCCCAATATTTCAAGTTTAGCGGAAAATTGCCTTGTAACTTTAACCCAAATCCACAGCCCAAGTTTAGTTGGGATGTGAAGAGATAAAAAAATATGGAATGTATAGCCCAATAAAGGTTAATGGGCTTTTGCAGCAACCTAGAGGTAATGAAATTTGAAGTTTTGAATCTTTTGATCATCTGTAGTTCTGTACATATATTACAAACAAACAAAAAAATCCTTAAGAAAAGATAGAAAAAAGTTAAACATTTGTCTTTTCGTCACTTGGAAAAAATATTGTTAACCGAACTGGTTTCTGCATGTAAAATAACAACGAATCAGTATTTCACAGATTCGGTTTGGTTTAGCGATTTTTTTTTAGTTTTGTAGGCGAGCTAGCTAGAAACTAGTGAAGACTTACGTTTAACAAACAAAACCCTAGTACACGTAACTATCTGAAAAAAAAAAATATTTATCAATAATATTTGTAAGTTGAACTTAATTTTTTTTTTAAGTTGAACTTACTCAAAGTCATGACATAGTTTAACTAAGAGTTAACCAAACAAAAATACATTGAAATTTTAGTAAAAGTTGATATATACTTACAAAAGCTTGTCATTTCTTGTAAAGAAATGGAAGTGGACAAACAAATTACTAGATAGTTTTGTGACAGAAAGATTTTGAACCGAGATATAAACTATTATCCGAAATTTGTGGAAAGTTAAATATGTTGACTTTTAAAACGTATGGTCTTGTTAGATATTACATGGGACTTCCTAGGTTTTTTTTTTGTCAAACCCTAAGTCTTATACTTGTGGAGGCAATATACTAACCACCGCCTTATCTATTTTTGTCATTAGATGTTGAATTATCAAAAAGAGTTTTTTGAACAATGAATTATCAAGAGTTACTAGATTGTTTATCTATAAAGTTGCACTTATCAGGTTTTAAAAATCGAAACAGAAAATTTGTGATTTTAACTAGTCTACTTTTTATGTTATTTGCGAACTGATCATATACGTATAATGTAACCGAAGAGGTTTATTTACTTTTTGGTTCAACTCGGGTTTGATATATACCTTAGTCATAATTTATATTCATATCTCATTGAATTTTCTTAAGAAAAAATATAAACTATATCGGATAAAATGCACTGCTTATAAATTGACTAAATAGTAAATATGTAGAGATCAGTTCCGTTACATATATCGCAATAATCAATCATAGTCTAGAACTAACTTGTTTAGAGTATATATAAAATATATATATATATATATATATATATATATATATAACGAAGCACGCAGCATTATTTAGTAACTGGTAATATTATTGAAGATCAAATAAAATTACTTAAAAGGAATATTAGTAGTATAATGATCTTTGTTTCCATCAGGTACTAGTGGATTCCACATATCCCACAAAGCATTGTTTGGAATCGTCCCTGCAGGGATCATGTTCATAGCTAACGCTGCTTGCGTTTGAGGCGTTAGCGCCGCTGTAGTCGCCGCCGCGACCAATTGCAACGCGTTTGCATTTGCGTTTAGCTGTTGTTGGTTATGAAACTGTTGCGCGATTTGATAGTACTGGTGATTGATGTTACCTCCATCAGATATTTGGTAGTTAACAAGTCTTTGAAGATCATCAACAATGGCGGTTTCATCATCGTCTTGATTATTACTTGTAGAGATTATCGGTGTGTTGCTTGCACCATAAGGCATTGGACGATATATGTTCTGATTGGCTAAAGCTATGGTGACGTCAGAATTACTGTTTGTGGTGGTTGTGGTTGTGGTGCTTCCGTCGCCGGAATATTCGGCGGATATCTTATCGAGATTGTTGTTGTTAAGGTTGTTGTCGGAATGATTAGATGAGGATGAATTGTTGTGTTGTTGTCTTAAGGCCAAGCGGGATGATGAGTTATGATGATGTCTTGTAGAGAGGGAACGTGGCACGGATGGATGATCTTCTACTCCTGGTCTCTTGTACACTCGGCACAATGATATTTCAGCCTAAAGATACATATGAAACACATATGATTAGAGACTTGAGTATCAATTTAGAGTATGGTAATAATTAATAAATAAAAAAGGTACATAACACGCTTAGAAGAAATCTGATTTCAACTATATTCTATGGCGATTTCATCGGTATACTACTTTCATTTGACGTGCATGTACATTAGAGAGTTAAGAATTTAAGTTTATACATTTTCACTATAGTGGAATTGGATGTAAAATACAAACAAATTTAGTTTTAATTTGTAAATTCATGTCAAGCTTAATTGGTGTTTTAGGCATTTAGCTATCAAATAAGAATTACTACAGCGCATACATCTTACACAAATTTAACGGATACAAAGAGTAACGACTTAGAATATGGAACAACCCGAAAAAAATAATGTAAATAGCAGTTTTTCAGTAAATATATTATTTTTTCGGTCTGTTCCATATACCGTCATCACTCATAGTTTAAATCTTTTGTATATAGTTATATTGTTATACACATATGCCAAAGGAATTTGAAAAATGTCGGGCAACTTAAATAGAAGACATGAAAGAGCAGGAGTAATGTGATGAATTGAATTGTAAGAACATTAATCAAGACTGCAGAAATTAAGGTATATATATACATATAGATGTGTGAATGTCGAATGTGGTACTTGTGTGTATAGATAATTATGTGTATGTAGCTATATCTATTAATGCATTCTACTATACATATGGGCCATGGCTAGCAATTTAAAGAGTTCATGCGTATGGCATGAACATTTTCTGGATTTAAGCGCAAACGCCGCCTTACATTTAATTAGTTTTTTCACAAGTATTTTGGATCTTACCGAATCAATTCCAAAATTGAAAAAATAAATAAACTACTCAAAATCAAACAAATATTATTCAAACAACCTAGGGATTTCATTTCAATTTGGTAAGGCATAGCAACGTAGCCAGGGTTAAGGGATAAAATATATAAAGAGAATTTTGATTAAATTCATACCTTTTGGTATTTCTCGGTTTCATGGTGAGGGAGACGATATTCGTTCATAATCCAACTGGTACGAGTGCCTTTAGGGGCTTTACCGGAGTAGAAAACTAGGGTTTTCTTTAATCCGATCGGCCGAGAAGTCTCCGATCTGATCATCCGATCAGCTCCGGTGGCTTTCCAATACCCTGAAGTCGTTACTCGGTTTGGTCTATCTCCATTTCTATACTTCCGATCCCTTGGCACATAGAAGTACCATTCTTTCTCTCCTATTGCAGCCATCGCTGCATATATGCATACATATTTATATTAATAAAAATCATATGTTATCTTAAAATAACCCCAAAAAGTAAATCTTCTATTCATATAGACACACGTATGTGAATATTTTATGTTGATATAAAAGAAGTTTGTATTAGTTTAAGAAAAAAATATAAATCTTTGTCATTTTTTGGTTAAATTAATAAATCATATCCATCACAAAAAGAAGTAAAAAGAGAAGAAAGTGTTGGACGATATATTGAGAAATATTGGAGATCGACATAGACATTTTTCTTTAAGATCGGTTATATTTAGGTTTAAGAAAAGAAATAGAGAGAGAAAGAGAGAAGGAAGTTGATTGTGTCTAAAGATCTTAGTATTTGTATGTATGCATATTGTGTGTCTCTTTTCCAAATAGTTTGAGACGGTTTATGCGTATATATTTATGTGGAATGTATATTTACCCGGAAGTTCCCAAGGATCATAGCGATAAAGATCAAGGAAAGTGATGAGTTCTACATTGAAGCGTTTGCCTTCGACTTTACGGCGAAGATAAAACTCTATGAGTTCTTCTTCTGTGGGATGGAATCGGAATCCAGGCATGACCATGTCATGGTCATGATCATCAGCTTCATCATCATTATGAACACGACTCTCGTGGCCCCCTCTATGATCATCTTCTTCTATGCCTTTTTCATTGACTTGGTTACTCATGGTGATGATGCTTGTTGTAGAAGACACAATTGCCATATATTAAGAGATACTATATATGTTGTGTATGCATGTGGATTAAGATGAAGATGAAAAAGGATTAAGGGTTTGTTGGTTTTTATACTAAACAAGGGAAGGGAAAAAGATATATGAAATTGAGTGGTGTTGGGTAGAGATAAGAGGAGGAGAAGAAGAAAGGAAGATTATTTAGGAATGAAACGTCGTCGGTTTTAGGAGTTGAGACCAAACGAGAATAAGACAGAGAGAGAAGAAGAAGAGAGTTAAGAGGAGACAAAGACTTGTCAAATTGAGGACAGGGTGTCCACGGTTTTGTTTTCTTAGCCGTGCCTTTGGACCTTTCTCTCACTCTCCCATTTCTAGTTTTTTTTTTTCATTAAAAAATATCTAATAGTTTTTTTCTAGTTAAAGAATCTAATAGTTTAACGAATCTTGTATATTAATGTTTTAAGAAATTATATCGTCCACGCACACGCACGTAAAACGATCCATTTGGCAGATCTTTCAATCCTCACTAGCTCTGTTTACGTATGGACTGATAGGTCCTAGGTATTTAGAGACACTATAATTACTTAACAATAATTTGATTCCAGTTATATATATGCAAATAGATTGTTTAATTTTGAATTGTTGTTTACTCTTAATTTTTGATCCGATTATGATATATATCCGAAGACAAGTTCCACTGAATGTAACGTACGTCTATTGCAACCAAAGAAACGCGAAAATGTAAAACATTTTCCTCATAGTGCCTA